TACAGTAATTAAGGAGGAGAATAGTACAAAGTGAGATCAGGGATTGGCAAGATCTAGATGACCCAGGGCTGCACAGATCATTATGAGATGTTGAGACTTCGTTCTAAACAGCAGGATTTTAAGCAGGTAAGAGACAGCATCTTCAGGAGTGAGCTTTATGTTCTTTTAGCTCCCCTAAATCACAGGTGGATGTACCACCATACTATACCCCACTCTAAATTAGATTTTAGAGATGTGGAAGGAAGGTACCTTTTTTGACATAACAGTATTTGTTGTGTTAACTAAAAGTTATAGGAGGTCTTTGTTTTGTGCTAAGCTCCTACACTACACCCCAGTGGACCAGACTAAAAATCAAAATGGAGTAATTTATGCTTCAAAGTTGCACCTCACCAAATCAAAACTACATTGTTATCTGACCTTCCTAGAACTCAGGAGCGAGAAATAAACTTTGATGCTTACAACAAAAAGTAGTCTTATGTTAACCAGTTATTCCTATATTTTTCTGTTTCTCTGTTCCTACTTTAGGAAGAAAGTAACTTTGAAATGACCAAGCTGCTTTTTATTCTTTGTTTCTACTTTCTTCAGCTCTTCTCTGTCTATAAAACCAAACTTCTCTGCTCAGCCCCCGGGACATTTATTCTATTTTACAGAATAAAGTATTTCCCAGTTCTAGAATTGTTACCGGAAAGAGGCCCCAATCCAGACCCCCCGAAAGGGTTCTTGGATCTCGCACAAGAAAGAATTCAGGGCAAGTCCATAAAGTAAGAGCAAGTTTATTAGGAAAGTAAAGGGATAAAAGATATAGAGCAGCCTCAAGGGCTGCTGGTTACCCATTTTTATGGTTATTTCTTGATGATGTGCTAAACAAGGGTTGGATTATGCATGCCTCCCCTTTTTAGACTATATAGGGTAACTTCCTTACCTGACAGCTGGCATTTGTAAACTGTCATGGCACTGGTGGGAGTGTAGCATTGAGGACAACCAGAGGTCACTCTCATCACCATCTTGGTTTTGGTGGGTTTTAGCCAGCTTCTTTACTGCAATCTGTTTTATCAACAAGGTCTTTATGACCTGTATCTTATGCCAACTTCATGTCTCATCTGGTGACTTCAAATGCCTTAACCATCTGGGAATGCAGCCCAGTAAGTCTCAGCTTCATTTTACCCAGCCTCTAGACAAGATGGAGTTGCTTTTGTTCAAACTCCACTGACAGAATCATAAATAAAGCCAATTAAGATGTTTCACAAAATTGTTGTAATTTTGTCTTTTGACAGTTGCGATGGCAAGGAATTTGAGGTTTTAGCACTCATAATGGCAGTTTTCTTTTATCCTTCTTTCTGCCTTTCCTTTGTATCTATATTACCTACCCTACTGTGTCCTTAGAGATTGCCATGTAGCCTAAGGTGACAACCAAATCTAGGAATATGTGATCTGCTTGTGGCAGAACCTTAATGTATACATAAGAGTCCCAACAGGGATAGCAAAAAATTAGGATTAGCTTTTTCTTTTCTGTGCTCCTTTTAATAGCACAGATCAGTGATTTATGTGAATTATTTATCTTTCATCTTTGCAAATTTTCATCTTATTACCTTAGGTGCAAAGATTTTATTTTTATAGAAATGTTGTTTTGATTGACTATCAGGATTAGTATCACTTTAACATCTCCCGTCCATAGTCACCACGTTTCTACATTTCTGATCATCTTTATGGAGTACTATACCGAAAAGATTCTATTATTTTAAAACCAGTGACTTCCAGTCTGTCAGAATTTGCTCATGCCAGTATCAAAAACAGCATCACTCATTTTCAGAAATTGAAAGCTTTTGCCGTGTGTTTACAAATGAAAGTTTCTTAATATAGCTTTATCTCAAACAGTTACAAAGCCCTTTGTTTTAAAGCAAGTATTTTATGCTATAAATAACCTAATCCATTAAAAAAATTAGTAAACAAACCAACCTTATTTTTTTGAGACAGAGTCTTACTGTGTCGCCCAGGCTGGAGTGCAAGTGTGGCATGATCTCAGCTCACTGCAACCTCCGCCTCTGGGGTTCAAGTGATTGTCCTGCCTCAGCCTCCCGAGTAGCTGGGATTACAGGCCCATGCCATCACACCCAGCTAGTTTTTTATATTTTTGGGAGAGACAGGGTTTCACCATTTTGGCAAGGTTGGTCTCAAACTCCTGACCTCAGGTGATCTGGGCCTCCCGAAGTGCTGGGATTATAGACGTGAGCTACCTACCACACCCAGCCACAGACCAATCTTTTAATTTTGGGTTTTTTGTTTTTTGAGAAATAGTCTCACTCTGTCACCCAGGCTGGAGTGCAGTGGCATAAACACGGCTCACTGCAGTCTTCACCTCCTGGGTTCAAGCGATCCTCCCACCTCAGCCTCCCAAGTAGCTGGTACCACAAGCTCATACCATCATGCCCGGCTAATTGTTTTTTGGTTTTTTTTTTTTTTTTAGAGAAATGAGGTCTCACCATGTTGTTCAAGCTGAATTTTTACAAAGAAAATATAAAGAGGGAACATTGCCACAGGCATACCTCGGAGATATTGTAGGTTGGGTTTCTGACTACTGCAATATATTGCAGTAAAGCAAGTCACAAATTTTTTGGTTTCCCAGTGCATATATTAATAAAAGTTATATTTACACTACAGTCTACTAAGTATGCAATAGCATTATGTCTTAAAAAATACATATTTTAATTAAAAATACTTTATTATTTAAAAATGTTAATGGTTATCTGAGCCTTCGATGTGTCAGTTTTATGTAGTGGAGGGTCTTGCCTCAGCATTGATGGTTGCTGACTGCTCGGAGTGGTCGTTGCTGAAGGTTGGGGTAACTGAGGCAATTTCTTAAAATAAGACAACAATGAAGTTTGCTGCATTGATTGACTCTTCCTTTCAGAAAAGATTTTCTATGCCATTTAATGCTGTTTGATAGCATTTTACCCACAGTGAAATGTCTTTCAGAATTGGAGTCAATCTTCTCAGACCCTGCCACTGCTTGTCAGCTAAGCTTATGGAATATTCTAAATCCTTTGTTGTCATTTCAGCAATGTTCACAGCATCCTCACCAGGAGTGGATTCCATATCAAGAAACTACTCTCTTTATTTATCCATAAAAAGCAACTCCTCATAAGTTCATGCCTTATCATGAGATTGCAGCAATTGAGTCACATCTTCAGGCTCCACTTCTAATTCTAGGTCTCTTGCTATTTCCACTAAATCTGCAGTCACTTCCTCCACTAAAGGCTTGAACCCCTCAAAGTCATCCATGAGGACTGGAATCAACTTCTTCCAAACTCCAATTAGTGTTGATATTTTGACTTCCTCCCATCAATCATGAATGTTCTTATTAGCATCTAGAAAGGTGAAACCTTTCCAGAAGATTTTCAACTTACTTTGCCCAGATCCATCAGAAGCAACATAAATGGTAGCTATGGCTTTAAGAAATGTGTTTCTTAAATAATAAGACTTGAAAGTCAAAATGACTCCTTGATCCATGTGTATAGAACGGATCTGTTAACAGGCATAAAAACATCAGTCTCCTTGTGTTATCTCCATCGGCACTCTTGGGTAACCAGGTGTGTTGTCAATGAGCAGTAATATTTTGAAATAAACCTTTTTTTCTGAGCAATAGGTCTCAACTGTGGGCTTAAAATATTCAGTAAATCATGCTCTAAACAGATGTGCTGTCATCTAGGCTTTATTCTTCCATTTCTAGAGCACAGGCAGAGTAGAATTAGTGTAATCCTTAAGGGCCAGGGGATTATTGGAATGGCCAATGAGCACTGGCTTCAATGTCAAGTCACCAGCTGCATTCGCCCCTAAGAAGAAAGTTAGTCTGTTCTTTGAAGCCTTGAAACCAAACACTGACTTCTCTAGCTATGAAAGTCCTAGATGTCATCTTCCTCCCGTATAAGGCAATTTTGTCTACATTTAAAATCTATTGTTTAGTGTAGCCACCTTCATCAGTTATCTTAACTAGATCTTTGGATAACTTGCTGCAGATTCTGCATCAGTACTTGCTGCTTTACCTTGCAGCAAGTCATGGATTATGTTTTGGAGACGGCTTCTTTTCCTGAACTTCAAGAGCCAACCTCTGCTATCTTCAAGCATTTTTTCTGCAGCTTCCTCACCTCTCTCAGCCCTCATAGAATTGAAGAGCGTTAGGGTCTTACTCTGGATTAGGTTTTGATTTAAGGGAATGTTGTGGCTGGTTTGATCTTCTAGCCAGACCACTAAAACTTTCCCCATATCAACAATAAGGCTGTTTTACATTCTTATTTATGTGTTCACTGGAGTAGCACTTTTAATTTCCTTCAATAACATTTTCTTTGCATTCACAACTTTGCTGTTTGGCACAAGAAACCTAACTTTTGGCCTATCTCAGCTTTCAACATGCTTTCCTCACTAACCTTAATTTTTATTTCTGTCTTTTGTTTTAAAACCAAAGACACATGACTCTTCCTTTTACCTGAACACTTAGTCATCGGAGGGTTAATAACTGGCCTAATTTCAATTTTGTTCCATCTCAGAATAGGGAGACCCAACAAGAGGGAGAGAGATGGTGGGTCAGTCAGAACATATATTTATAGATTAAATTCGTTTTATACAGGTGCAGTCTGTGGCACCCCAAAACAATTACAAGAGTAACATCAAAGATCACTGATCACAAGTCACCATCAGATATAATAAAAACGAAAACTTTTGAAATATTGTGAGAATTACCAAAATGTGACAGATGGAAAGTGAACACATGCTGTTGGAAAAATGGGCTTGCTTGACACAGGATTGCCGTAAACCTTCCATTTGTAAAAAATGCAATATTTGTGAAGCATAATAAAGTGAAGTATAATAAAAGGAGATATGTCTGTATTTTATTTTTTTACTTCTCTGTTTTTTTGTTGTTGTTGTTTGTCTGTTTGTTTTTTAGAGATAGAGTCTTGCTCTGTTACCCAGGCTAGAGTGCCATGACGAATCATAGCTCACTGTGGCCTAGATCCCCCTGGGATCAAGTGATCTTCCTGCCTTAGCCTCCACAGTAGCTGGTACTACAGGTACGTGCCACCACACTCAGCTAATTCTCTTATATTTTTTGTAGAGACAGTGTCTCTCTGTGTTTCCCAGGCTAGTCTCGAACTCCTGGGCTGAAGTGATCCTCCCACCTCAGTCTCCCAGAATGCTGAGATTACAGGCATGAGCCACCACACCTGGCCTTCTTGATGTGTTTTATACAAGAATATTAAAACACTTTGAGTTATCCTTTGACATGTAACATTTTGCTTTTTCTGTTTTCTCTCAAGATGTATAAAATGAGCACATTGAAATCTAATAAAGCAATAACCGTTTCTACCAATTTAGTTCTTTAAAGGTTTCATGTAAGTTCATGTACCAATGGAATATACCTTATCTGAAATTTCTGGGTCCAGAGGTGTTGTGAATTTTGGATTTTGGAATATTTGCATATAATTAATGAGATATCTTAGGAATGGGACCCAAATCTAAACATAAATTTTGTCTGTTTCATGTACATCTTATATACATAACCCGAAGATAATTTTAGACAATACTCTTTTTTTTTTTTTTTTTTGAGACAGAGTTTGTTCTTGTTGCTGAGGCTGGAGTGCTGTGGTGCAATCTTGGCTCACTGCAACCTCTGCCTCCCAGTTTCAAGCAATTCTCCTGCCTCAGCCTCCCAAGTATCTGGTATTACAGGCGCCCACCACCATGCCCGGCTAATTTTTGTATTTTTAGTAGACATGGGGGTTTCACCATGTTGGCCAGGCCTGTCTCGAACTCTTGACCTCAGGTGATCCGCCTGCCTCAGCCTCCCATAGTGCTGAGATTACAGGCATGAGCCGCCGCAACTGGCCACAATACTTTTAATAATTTAGTGCATGAAACAAAGTTTGTGTTAAGTACTTATGTGTGGAATTTTGATTTGTGCCATCATGGCAGCACTCAAAAAATTTCAGATTCTGAGTTTTGAACTTTCAGATTGAAGATGTTCAGCCTGTAATTTCCTTCATATTGATGGTAGGCACAAGTTTTTTATCTTTTTGTAAAGGTGTGAAACAAGTTAAATGACATCTTTCCTGAATTTCTGGGATGGCGCATTTATTAAGAAACAGGATATAAGAATTTGCTTAAGCCATTCTGTTTTAAATCTGATTTTCTTCCTATTAATATTTTAAGCAGAAAAAAAATTAATTATCTGATACATTAGTACCACCTTTACTTTGAAAGAGAAACAAATGACATCTGTTAGCTTAGCCATGGAGGTTAAGTGGTTTTCCTAAGAAATGAATATGCACTGCAATGAATGATTTGCCAGTCATCTCAATGACTATTTTGTTTTGCAGGCCACAGTGTGAACATATGAATAGAAGAAGAAAATTTCTTCTTGCCTCAGTACTTGCTCTCCAGAATTCAAGTTTTATATATCCATCATGTCAGAAGTGCTTATCGAGGTTAATCGTAGTCTCCAAAAGGTAAAAATAAAGGCTGTAAGTGAGAGAGGAAATATAAGTGCACACTGTAGATTTCCTGTGGCTCAAGGACAGTGGCCAAATTTACCAAACCAGGACATTAGATTCTCTTATGGGTTGGTTCCTCTGTAAATCCCAGAACAGATTTCACTGCTAATCATCTATTATTAGAGAAAAGTTTTAAGTTACTGTCAACTCCTTTGATAAATACCTGGCTCAAGGAAGAAAAATAACTTATCAGAGAGTAAGTCCCAATATCGGTACAAAACATAGTCCATTTCTGGGATATCCCTGGGAATAATATAGGAGGCTTTTATTGTTTGTTTATTTTTACATGATCCACAGAATAGTTTTTAGTATAAATAAATAAACTCCTTGAGACCAGGGACGATGTTATAGTAATATCTATCCTTTAGCACTAGAAAGGCGTTTGACATATAATTCTTTATTATCATGCTCAGATGCAAAGCCAGCTATATCTGAGAGCCTAAAATCTTCCTCTGATCTTTATAGAGTAGAAGTGAGAGGTTAGATTTGAAGTTTCTCCATAGCACTGTCTCTCTGCATGGAAGAGAAGATAAGAATACTTAGTAAGTAGCTAGAAGTATTTAGGAAAGAGTAGTGTGCCAGCAATATTCCTAACTAGTTTTTTGTCTAGTTAGCATTGAATGGGGAGGCAGAAAGGCATTGGCAGTTCTAACTGACATCTAGACTCTAAGTAATCCTTGAAGTAGTTATTACATTGTTCGTTCATTAAGTCACTCTCTCAAGTACTCACTTATAAGCTCTAAGAGAAAGACCCTGTTTGTGTTATTCATCATTAAATCCTTGGCATCCCTCCTAGGGCTTGGTTCATAGAAAATATTCAACAAATGTTCGTTAAATGAATGAATAAGTGATGGCATTATAGTGTTTAGATTGTCTTAGGCTCACCCATTTTCACTTTCCTGCCTGTCATTTGAAACAACTAAAACCAATGGGCTACTTGCCTTTCATCAGGATCTATACTTAGAAGCAGTGTGGTATACTGTCCTTACTTAATGTTGTCGGATTCTTAGACACCCCAACTTTAAGCAGAATGATGTATAATTAAACCAATTTTTTTATCATCAACGTTATAATGACATTATTTGAGAACTTGCTATAAGTAGTTTTGCTTTAAGTCACAGTATCCAAGAACCTATCACTGACATTAAGTGAGGACTTACTGTAATGGAACAATTTCAAGCTTTAGAGAACACAACAGAGTTGCATGTAGGCTCAGGCACTCATTAACTATGTGACTTAGTGCAAGATATTTAACTTCTGTGAGTCTAATTACTTATTTGTAAAATGGGATAATGGTACCCACAATATGGGATAATTGTAAAGTTAGAGATAATGCACCAAAATGTTCTAATACATAACATATATTAGGATTTCCAAAATGGTAGCTATTATTATTATTATAGTCTATTATAAGTATACTTTACCTTATTACAGGATATTATCATGATTAAAAGCATCATTCTCTGGAACAGATTGCCTGATTCAAATCACAACCCTGCCTGTTATAGCTGTGTGGCCTCAGGCAAGCCATTTTAATTATCTGAGCCTCAAAATGGCTCAGAAAGTGATATCTGCCTCATAGGGTTCTTGTAAGGATTAAATGGATTAATATACATAACATGCCTAGAACACTGTCTGATACATTATCAATAATATAGAGATATAAAGTCTTTTTTAAACTCTTCAGTCATTTATTTTAAAGAAAATCTGCAACAAAAATTTAGGTTGAACAATAATGCCATTGTTACTTATTTAGACTGGTATTATCAATAGACAACATTAGTGAGTGTTTACTGTACAGTAGGCACTGTGCTAGGAGCTTTTTGGACATTATATCTTTTAATACAACAGTCCTATGAAGTGAATGCTATTGTTAATTCCAACCTTTAAAGGAGACAGCTGAAGCTTACCACAAATCATCACACAGCCAACTAGTTAGAGGCAGAAACATATTCAAACCTAAACAATCTGAATTCTGCTTACCTTCATAATCACCATATTACTTCCAAATTAGCAGTGGAATGTGTATTCAGAATGACACCTTCCCCTCTCTTTCTTAGAGCTTAAAATGCTCTGGGAAAGGACTTGTGACTGGACGCTTTCAGAATATAAAACCCATGGCACATAGTCCTTGCCTGTGGAAACATAGTCTATGGGAATATAACCTGTTTTCTGCATATATTACTGAGGGAATGTGTTTAGGGTTTTCGAGGTAAACAATCATATCATAAGCTAACGGTGACAGTTTGACTTCCTCTTTATCAATTTAGATGCCCTTTCTTTCTTTCCCTTGTCTGATGGCATTGGCTAGGACTTCCAGTACTATGTTGAAGAGGAGTGGTGAGTGGGCATCCTTATCTTGTTCCAGTTCTTAGAGGGAATGCTTTCAACTTTTCCCCACTCAGTGTTATATTGGCTGTGGGCTTGTCATAGATGGCTGTTATTACATTGAGGTTTGTCCCTTGTATGCCAATTTTGCTGAAAGTTTTAATCATAAAGGGATACTGGATTTTGGTCAAATGCTTTTTCTGCATCTACTGAAATGATTATGTGATTTTTGTTTTTAAAATTCTGTTTATGTGGTATATCACGTTTATTGACTTGTGTATGTTAAACTGTCCTTGCATCCCTGGTATGAAACCCACTTAATCATAGTAGATTATCTTTTTGATATGTTGTTGGATTAAGTTAGGTAGTATTTTGTTAAGGATTTTAGCATCTATGTTTATTAGGGATATCAGGCTGTAGTTTTCTTTTTTGGTTATGTCATTTCCTGATTTTGGTATTAGAGTGATGCTGGTTTCATGGAATGAATTAGGGAGGGTTCTCTCTTTGTCTGTCTTGTGTAATAGTGTCTAAAGGATTGGTACCAATTCTTCTTTGAATGTCTGGTGGAATTCTGCTGTAAATCCATCTGGTCCTGGACTTTTTTGTTATTGGTGGTAATTTTTTAATTGCCATTTCAATCTTGCTGCTTGTTATTGATCTGTTCAAGGTATCCAGTTCTTCCTGATTTAAGCTAGGAGGGTTGTATTTTTCCAGGAATTTATCCATCTCTTCTAGGTTTACTAGTTTGTGTAAAAGTGTTCATAGTGGCCTTGAATGATCTTTTGTATCTCAATGGTGTCAGTTGTAATATCTTCCATTTTGTTTCTTTATGAGGTTATTGGATTTTCTCTCTTCTTTTCTTGATTAATCTTGCTAATGGTGTATCAATTTTATCTTTTCAAAGAGCCAGGTTTTTGTTTTCATTTATCTTTTGCATTTTTTTGTTGTTTGTTGGTTTCAATTCCATTTAATGCCGCTTTGGTTATTTTGGTTATTTCCTTTCTTCTGCTGGGTTTGGTTTGGTTTGTTCTTGTTCCACTAGTTCCTTGAGGTGTGACCTTAGAATGTCAGTTTGTGCTCTTTCAGTCTTTTTGATGTAGGTATTTAGGGCTGTGAATATTCCTCTTAGCACTACCCTTGCTGTATCCCAGAGGTTCTGATAGGTTGTGTCATTATTGTCGTTCAGTTCGAAGAATTTTTAAATTTCCATCTTATTTCATTTTTGACCCAATGATCATTCAGGAGCACATTATTTAATTTCCATGTATTTTCATGTTTTTGAAGTCTCCTTTTGGAGTTGACTTCCAGTTTTATTTCACTGTGGTCTGAGAAAACGCTCGATATAATTTCAGTTTTCATAAATTTATTGAGGCTCATTTTATGGCCTTCCATATGGTCTATCTTGGAGAAAGTTCCATACACTGTTGATTAGAATGTGTATCTGCAGTTGTTAGATGAAATTTCTGGTATATATGTTAAGTTCATTTGTTCCAAGGCATAGTTTAAATCCATTTTTTCTTTGTTGACTTTCTGTTGTGATGACCTGTCTAGTGCTGTCAGTGTAGTATTGAAGTCCCCCACTATTGTGTTGCTGTCTATCTCATTTGTTAGGTCTATTAGTAATTGTTTTATAAATTTGGGAGCCCCAGTGTTAGGTGCATATATGTTTAGGATTGTGATATTTTCCTGTCGGACAAGGCCTTTTATCATTATATAATGTCCTTTGTCTCTTTTAACTGCTGTTGCTTTAAAGTTTGTTTTGTCTGATATAAGAATAGCTACCCCTGCTTGCTTTTGGTGTCCATTTGCGTAAAACGCCTTTTCCCACTCCTTTACTTTACTTTATGATTATGTGAGTCCTTATGTGTTAGGTGAGTCTCCTGAAAGACACCAGATAGTTGGTTGGTGAGTTCTTATCCATTCTCTTGTTCTGTATCTTTTAAGTGGAGCATCTATACCATTTACATTCAATGTTAGTATTGAGATTTGAGGTACCATTGCATTCATGGTGCTATTTGTTCCCTGTATACCTTGGATTTTTTTGTTTGTTTTGTTTTTGCTTTTTAAATTGTATTTTTGTTTTATAGGTCCTGTGTGATTTATGCCTTAAAGAGATTCTGTTTTTGATGTGTTTTCAGGATTTGTTTCAAGATTTAGAACTCCTTTTACTTTTTGTTTGTTTGTGTTTTTATGGAGTTTCTCTCTTTCACCCAGGCTGGGGTGAAGTGGTGCAATATCGGCTCACTGCAACCTCCACCCCGGGATCAAGGGATTCTCCTGCCTTAGCCTCCTGAGTAGCTGGGATTACAGGTGCCTGCCACCACATCCAGCTAATTTTTGTATTTTTAGTAGAGATGGGGTTTCACCATGTTGGCCAAGCTGATCTCGAACTCCTGACCTTAGGTGATCCACCTGCCTCAGCCTCCCAAAGTGCTAGGATTACATGCGTGAGCCACTGTACCTGGCCTAGCAGTTATTATAGCGGTGGCTTGGTAGTGGCAAATTCTCTCAGCATTTGTCTGTCTGAAAAAAACTATATTTCCTCTTATATGATGCTTAGTTTCACTGGATACAAATTTCTTGGCTGATAATTGTTTTTTTGAGGAGGCTGAAGATAGGGCCCTAAT